CAGTCCTATTCATATGATGGGAACCCACATTGTGCATGCGCAGTTTTTTTGAGCGTTTGATGCAGGATGCGACGAGCGCGCTCGACCATTTGTGTTTGAATGTACAGTCGTCACGTGTGGCCAGGGCGTGTGCACGACCCCCGTTGGAAAACTTCCTACAGCTACCAACCTGTCTCTTCTTTGCCGATGAGGGCGCCCTTCAACTCAGGAGGATACGGATCTTTGATAGACAATCAGTGTGGTGTGTGATATTTCTCCATGGACCGAAGCCTTTGTGGAATTACGCACTGCTAAGTGGACTCTCAGGATTACCAGTACGCACAAAAAAAATTGTAACATCATTATTGTAATCTTTGGTAAAAGAGTTCAAGCATCTCTCGTGTAGGTTGACTTTTTGTTTTTACCCCATCCTCAGGAGGGGCATAGCCCATTGGGTGATTTGCCCCCTTTTTGGGGGGAAGGCAGGATACACCTTTCAGGTTTCCAAGCCGCTGTTGGTTAGGAGTACTTGGCGGCTTCCTCCTGGCATGCAGTGGCCTGGGGTGACCCCAGTCTCCTCCCCCCATGCTCCATCTGCTTCTCATTTGGTCACAGGTAGGCACTGACACCTGAAGAGGCGACAGGTTTTTGCAATCGATAAGTGCTACATGTATGTGGGTGCCTTACAGGTGTGGACATTAGGGGGAGAGATGGAAGAAGTTAAGCATCCCGGCTCATGTTTTGGAACCTTTCTAAATGGTGCATGCAGCAAGTGGGATGCGGACCGGTGGAATACCAGTGACTTATTAGCCACCCCCTAGAGCTCAGTTCTGAACCCGCTTGTGCTTTAGGCTACTGTAGCACAAAGATCTTGGATGTTTTAGTCCTGGTTGACACTGTATTTGTGGGCCAAACTCAAACAGGCAATATCATAAAGTAGTTCCATCCCTTTTGGGAGTGCAGTGGTACTGGTGCATTTGGAGATGATAGCAATTGTGTTTCAGTGCAAGTTTTCTCTGTTGCTTTAACCACTTCGGGCCGGGGCATTTTTCAACGTTGAGGATGCTGGGCTGGCATGACTATCATTTTTTCTGTTTTCAAAATCCCTCAACAATTCATCATTCCATTTAACAGTCGTTTATAGCCGCACGGGGTAA